TCTCCAAGTCCTTCCAGGCACGTGGGCAGTGTGCGTCTGTTGCTGATTCGCGGTGGCGCGCTACAGTTACCAGCATGGAGACGCGGAGGAGCGCGCCCTCGATCCGCCCGCGCAGCACACCCAGGTCGCCCAAGGAGAGGCCCAACGTCTCAGCGAACTTCTGACAGACCTCCAGGTGGGCATCTTGCCAGGGAACGCAGATGCGCAGCACCGCTTCGATCGCGTCTCCTGCCCCCTCGGCATTGGCAAACGGCCATGGGAACACCCTGGGCTCTCTGGCAACGAGCATCAGGATTACTAGAAGAGATTGGGCGTGGGCGGAGTCCATGGGCAGCCCGCCCGGATCTACCACACCGCGTCTGAATGGCTGGCCTGACGGGGCTAGCTGCAGGAGGTGCGCCAGGGTGCCCATGCCAGGGCGCTGGCGACGCCTGCAGCGCTCACGGGCCTCCCTGCCCCGGGCTCTCGGAACCTGCAGCAGCATGTCCTCGGGCGCGCACTGTCGGTTTGCCCTGGGCGGGTAGCTGCGCCCGCGGGCTCGGGGCGGGGTCGGCAGGGACTCGCTCGGGAGGGCCAGGCCCTGGTCCAACCAGGGGGCGCCCAGCCCCACAACCCAGACAAGGCGCGCCCAGAGCACGCCGTAGACCAGGTTGCCTGCGTCCAGGCCAAGGGACACGTCATAGAGGAAGCCAAGGTGCGACCAGGCTTCGCGGTCGAATCTCCCGGGTTCTCTCGGCGCGTCGGCGAGGGGGAACTCGCGAGGACGCTGCCCTGAGACCAGGTAGAGCGCGACAGAGAAGGCGGGGGGGGGGCAAGAGATTGGCGAGGCTCTTGGCGATGCCAATGCCCAGCGCATCCCAGTTAAAGCCAGGGTCGAGCTGTTCTCGATCCCGTTGGCAGAGCTGTTGGCGAGGGCGCAACGGGCCTTCTTGATGGCGCTGTCCAACTGCGTCCCAGATTCGCCCCCGCCTGCGTGGCCTCCCCAGGAGACTGGGCCAGCGACCCAGGTGGCCAAGCCCGCGACGGGGTCGAAATTGGGGTCGACAGCCAGGCTGGCCCGCGAGCCAGCCCACCGCGGATCCCTAAGCCGAACCCAGAGACCAGCCAAGCGCCCGCACCCTGATAGCACCATCATCCTCGACCACGCGGCGGAGGCGAACATCCTGCCATCGCCGATAATAACGACGAAGCGCGCGGCCCCTGCAACGGCGACGTTGACCCTGTTAGCGTTGTCCACGAGCCCCCAGTCGTGGTTTCCATTCGACCTCGTTGCGCGGAAAATCACGACGTCGCTTCTCCTCCCTGGCTGGAGTCAATAGCGGAGAGCACCAGGTTGCCAGATTTGCAATGCTCGGGCGCAACCTGCTGCAGTCCAGGGAAGTTGGTGCTGATGACGGTGAGCGAGGAGTCCTCCTGGTCGAAAACCCCATTCCAGCCCGAACTGTCCACGAACCTGTGTCCATCCGCTCCGCCCTTCTGTCCTGCCAGGTTGGTCGCAGGGGCGAGGGAGCGGCTTCTGTCCTTGCCTGCCTTGGCGCCTCCTCTGTCGTCACGCCGCCCTTGGCCTTCCCCTTGCCGCCCTTGGCCTTGCCCTTGCGACTCTTCGACTGTCGGGGCACGCCCGCGATGTTGGCAGGGATCTGCGGCCACCCGCCCTCCAGGATAGCCGTTCGCAGCTGGTGCCCAATCGCCGGGCGCTCTGACCACGCCCACTGCTTGCGCCGCCTCCGAGAGGTTGGCGCACCCAGCGTGGACGCTGGAAGTGACCTCGAGGGACGGGTTGTCTACCAAGAGGAATTTGTGCCCATCGCCTTCTTCCGCCCCCGCTGGGCGCAGGGGTTCCAGGACCCTCCGGAGGTCATCCTTGTCCGAGTGGTTGAGGCGTGCCAGCTCGGCGAGCGCGCCCTCGCCCCACGCCAGGATCGGTCGCCAGGGGAGGCCGTCGACTAACGATCGATCTGTCAGGGGATAAGCCAGGCCGCTGCGCATAATGTTGTTGTAGAATGCCCAGTTCGGCCATGCCAGGAGCTGTGGGTGCATCCGATAGCAGACCGCGAGCTGGGCGACCGCTGAGCCCTGCCCCCGCAGGGCGTGGCGCAGCCTGTCAATAATGAAAATGATGAGGCCCAGGTCCGCGGCGAGCTTGGAGATCAATGTGGGCGGTAGCTGCTCGGGGTCGCCCACCAGGACGAGGTGGCCGCCACCCCTGATGACACTGACCAGGGACATCGTAGCGTGGAGCTCTGTAGTTTGGCCAGCCTCGTCGACGATGAGTAAAGCAATATTTGCCGCACTGCCTTGCCCCAGAGCCTCGGCAGCCTCGCGCGCGGCCACGATGGCATTGGCGCCCCTCAGCAGGCCTACTCGAAATGGCGGAAAGTCTGAAGAGGCTGTTCCATCCTGGTTGGGAAACGAGCCCATGGCCCTGTTGTAGTGCCCGCCAGGAGTCAGGTTCACCAGAAAGGGGCGACTCGATTCTCCCTCGCCAGGTGCACGAAGCGGTCTGGAAAACACGTGTCTTCGCCCAGGTAGCCCTGCTGGCGGGCGGTAGCCAGCGCGTGGACGGGCTGGTCAGCTGCGGTGTTAGAGCCCGCCGTGAGCGCCACTGTCTGGCCCGGCGTCAGTGTGCCCGCCCAGGTGTCGAGCGCGCACACCGACAACCTGGTCTTCCCGGTGCGAGAGCCATGCACGATGGTCACGTGATGCGGCACGGTAGCTTGCAGGGCCTGGGTGGCGCTGTCGTTCAGGCTATGTCTGCGGGCGCCTATGCCCAGGGTGTCCTGGGAGGGAGTGCACCTGGCCCGCTGGAAAACGTGCCCGGTAGCGCTCAGCACCTCGTCGTCGGCGAAGCAGGGTATGTTGAGGGGCTGGAGTGTCTGAGGTGGCTGCGCTGTGGCGTCTGGCAACTGCAGCGCAGCGAAGTCGGCGTGAGGAACTGGGAGGGCCAGGGTCGCGACTGCTCTTGCCCGTAAGTAGAACCCAAGCCTGCCATTGTGCGCCGCGTCGTTTGCCAGGGCTGTGTCCTCCTTGGGAGCGGTGCGAAAGGTGGGCAGGAAGGCGACGATATGCAAGGGGTGGCCGAACATCTCGTCAGGGTCCTGATTGAGCCAATAGATCTCGTTGAGCGCTGCGGACACACGCCAATACTGGACCTCCGAGGGGGCTTCGTAACCCCGTACCAGGGGGCGCCTGGCTCAACTGGGGCGGGGGCACGGGAGATGTCAGCATGGAAGGGGCCTTGCTTCGCGTGATTGTATGTCACGACGCAGCGGTTGCCAGGGTACCTCGTGCCCCGTGAAGCCCCGGCCTGTCACAGTCCTGAGGTGCCAGGATATCGCCAAGGTCGGGCGGCCACCAGAGGGTGACTTCTGCGATCTGGTCCACGGTTGGGCCGTGGACGGAGATCAGCAGCGACTTCGGGTCCTGGCCTCCGTCCTGGCCCTTAGTGTCAATCTTGTACCTGGCGCGCCACTCGATGAGCATGAACTCCTCGCCGTCGGATGGCTCAAGGGAACCACGGCGCTGAAAACGGTCCAGATCTGGGATCTTGCACCGCGAGGTGATACGCCTGACACTGACCTCCAGGGCGCACCTGCTCTTCCTGGCTAGCTCAGCCCTTGCCTTGTCAGAACCGTCGTCTACGGTCTCCAGCGTGGTTCGCCCCTCTATCCAGGCGATCCTCTTCAGTAGCTGGCCCCGCTCTCGATGTGGGGACATTCGAAGAATCAAAAACCCAGGGTAGCTCAGGCGCTGAAATAAGTATGCTGACCCCCCCGAACAATATTGGTTACCCTCCTGGCACTCCTGCTGGACAGTGCCCTTATTGAGGTGTCAGTCTAAGGTAAAGGCGAGGGCCCCAGGGACAGTTTTTTGATCCGCGGGTCGAACGCGCACCTCTTCCGGTCGAAGCTAAGCGGGCCGCGCACAGCTTTAATTAACAAAGGGGGGGGCAGAAGGAGGGGCCTCACGTCAAGGCCAGGAGGGGGCAAAGCCCCAGAATCAGGCGGTGCCGAAGACGATGTGTTTGCAAAGGGGCGCCTTGTACAGGGACCCGGCGGCGAAGTACCAGAAGAAGCAACATGCTGTAGTTGGTTGTGCCGAGGCCCAGGGGCACACAAATACATAGGCACAAGAAACAGGATTCCCCATATGTTCCCACATGTGTTCTGGGTTTTCGTCTCCCCCCCACTTCCAATATGTTCCCATATTTCCCTAGGAGTCGACGATAAATTGTGTCTGTTTGTTTCGTTCCCCCTCCTGGCCGAGGACGTACACGAGAGCCCCTGCCCAGCTCAGAGCTAAGGACACTTTGCGCCAGGAAGCTCGACTCCACTCCAAGCGTGTTCTCTCAAATGGTGGCCCAAATCCTCATATACACTAGCATTCCACGAAGCAAAAGGGGGTCCGAGAAAACGCCCTGGGTGCGGTCCAGAATCTTCATTGTCTTAAGCGAAATCTGGAGTCCATGAACGTTGATGTTTTTTCAAGACTTCTGGAGGGTGTAAGAAACAATCAATGAGTCCCAAGAGGCATCCAACGGGCCCCGAGACACCCCTGAGACGCTCTCAAAGAGTCACCTGAGAGCCAAGAACACTGCGTACCCTGAAGCTGTTCCATGTTTGTCGCTGTCCAGGCTCTGCAGGCGAAGATCGGTTCACTTGCGGGTTTCGAGTGCCCAATCGAGCCCACCGAGAGCACCAAGAGGGCCCCCAAACGGCACAGGACGGCCCCATGAGAGCGCCAAGGTGGTCCACGAGGGCCCCTGGAGCTCCCATGAATGCCCCGAAGGAGCCCATGACAGCCCCAAGACGGCGCTATTTGGCCCCAGGAGAGCTCCTCAAGAAGTGGGGACAGGAAGTGTCACATGTGACGGCCGTCCAAGCTGTGATGGCAGATCGCCACACCAAGTGGTTCCCTGGCACGATGGCAGGTTTGCTATGGGCAGCTGGGCAGACGCAGATAGCAAGATGACCCCCATCCCTAGGATTGACGGTTACTTCCTCCTGCACCCAGCTGCGCCGCAGCTCTGCTGGGCGCACCACATCGCCGAGCAGGTCGCCCGCACCCGCACCAAGCAGCCGCACCAGAAGTGTCAGCGCCTTCGCCGTAGGGGGGGGGGCGGGGGGGCCGACATATAGAAAGACATATGAGGGCAGCGCGCAACGAGGTACGCTCTTGCCTATACCCAGGCAGGAATCTGCAGCGCGCGCCAGGACGGGAGCAAGCGCAACGTCCACTGAAAGAGCGGATATTGAAGCAAAAGGCGAGGTACACACACATACACATACACACACACACACGCGCACACACACACACGCATGCGCGCGCGAACATCACAACAACAACAGCGACAACAATCATTTTAATACTGTTCGCCCTCATCTGCTCGAGTGTCCAATAATAAAAATTTCCCAAACCCTCGATACCCGCCCTCTTCGTCTTCGATCGAACCCCTTTTGGGGAGTATACCTTTCTTCCCTGCAGGCCGGGCCCCGGCAAGCGGCGGGGCGGCCGCGGACCATCCCTGGCCAGCGGCAGCGCTGATCGGCGGGGCGGCCGCGGACCGTCGACCCGACCTCAAGAGGGACGGACAGGGGACAGACCACGACGACGACGACGACGTCGACGACGACGACGGCGGCGACGACGACGACGACGACGGCGACGACGAGCGAAAGCGAGAGCGACTGAAAACGACAGCAGGGCCATGAAGGACACGAAGTAGGCCACGAAGGGCGACAGCGGGGACACGAAGGGAATGCGTATGGGGCCACGAAGAGCGCGAACGAGCGGGGGCCACGAAGGGCAGATAATGCGGGGCCACAAAAGGCAACGATGGGGCCACTGAGGGTAGCAACTGGGCCACGTAGGACAGTGACCAAACCCGGGCAGACGGCGATGTTGCTTAACGGCAAAGTTGAGAATCTGATGTTTAAGACCCCCCGTTCGCAGTGCAAACTCGATGAATTCGGTGCCATGGCGAACTTACTTTCCATCTTGACGAAGACAAGCTTCAACATCCTTGTTCAAGTGTTCCCGAACGCTTACAGGCGTCAAAGCCGTGCGCGCGCCGCACGTGCAACTATCGCGCGCGCTCGTTTGAACTCGGACGTCGTTGCGACGCAGAGCCCACGCAAAACGAAATGTAGGAAATCACGAACCACCGTTTCCTACATTTCAAATTTGCGACTGTATCGAGCGAAAACGACACCGCGAAATGTAGGAATGCACGAACCACGCTTTCCTACAAAAGGCTCGGCCACCAACAACGCTTTCCTTCAATCGTTTTTCCTGCGTCGCCGTTATCCGCGTCGCCGTTTAACCGTATACGGCGCGATATTCTGAGTTCGTAGGAAATCCAATAATAAATGCAAACAAGGCTGCTTTTCATGCAGGTCGCACCTGCGAGACACGGTTCCCCCGAAGCCAATGCCGCCAGCACACGAGCCAGCCTCACCTACAATACCAAAACCTACATCGCCGTTAGCTACATCGCCGTTTGCCTGTCTACGGAGTGAGGGGGCCACAAACGGCGACAGCGGGGCCACGAAGGGCATGCGCATGGGGCCACAACAGGCGCGACTCCTGGGTGCCTGGGTGTCGGGAGCGCGGCGCTTGAGCAAATTGCAAGGGATTCCCACGCAAGGGCGCTATTCTTCAGTAAATTGCGAGCAAGTCTCCACCGAGAGCGCGACTCCAGAGCGCCGGGAGCGCGATTCCTATATGAATTGTAAGGAAGTCCCAAGCGAGAGCGCGATTCCTGAATACAATGCGAGGAAGTCTCGGGCGGGAGCGGGGGTCCTGGCTAAATTGTGAGGAAGTCTCACGCGGGAGCCGTTGTTGTTGTAACCCAGTGGCCAGGGGCCCAGTTTGACCATCAAGACTTTCGCTGTCAAAAAACAGGGTGCGAGCTTCGAGGGGCACACTTTGACTCAGAAAAAGCAGTATGCACCGGTGGGGGGGGATCAACAATACTTATTTTTCAAAAATGAGAATTCAACAGCAGCAGCAACAACGACAACACCACCAACAACAACAACAACAACAACAAAACCATCAACTGCAGCAAACAAACAGCAGCAGCAACGTCAACGACAACAACAACAACAACAACAATAACAACATCAACAACAACAACAGCAGCAGCAGCAACAACAACAACAACAACAACAACAACAACATCAACCAGAACCACCACCACCAACATCGACAACAAAAACAGCAACAACCGTTTTAAGACTGTTCGCTCCTGCCTGCTCAACACGTGTATCCCAAACCCTCGTTAGCCGCCCTCTTCGTCTTCGATCGTACCCACTTGGGGGTATATCTTCCATACCTGCCGCGTGTACTTGGCACAGCCCCTGAAAAAGGTGAAGCGAAGACGGATGGAAGGGGGAGGGAGAAGGATGGAGCACGGGATTAGCAGGAGGGGGGCTAGGAGCAGAAAACACGTGGCAGAACCAGACGGGTCCATCGAGCGATAGCGCGATTCCCCAGTGAATCGCGAGGGAGGCCAAAGCGAAAGCGTGATTCCTGAGTGTCGAAGGCGCGGCGTCTGAATAAATTGCGAGGAAGTCCAACGCGAGAGCGCGATCCCTGCATAAATTATGAAAAAGCCCCGCGCGAGAATTCGATTCCGGAATACATTGTGAGGAAGTACCAGGCGGGAGCCGCTGTTTTTGTAACTAGGGGCCAACACACAGTTTGGTGAAACCAGGTGCGAACCCCGAGGGGGGAACTTCAATTGAAAAAAGACAATGGTTACCGGAGGGGGGATCAACGATAATTGTTCTTGAGAAGTGAGATTTCAATACTAATAATAAGAAGAACACGAACAACAACAACAAACACAACAACAACAACACCAACAACAACAACAACAACAACTACAACAACAGCAGCAGCAACAGCAACAACAACAATCATATTATGACTGTTCGCTCTTATCTGCTCGCGGGCCCGCCAACACGTACATCCAAAACACTCGATACCCGCCCTCTTCGTCTTCAATCGTACCCCCCTTTGGGGGATGTATCTTTCTTACCTGCAACGTGTATTTCGTGCAGCCCTCAAGGCAGGGGACGAAAGGACGGATGGAAGGAAAGGACAAGGGGGAGGAGGATGGAGCACGAGAGAGAGCAGCAGGACGGGGGCTCGGAACAGAAAACACGTGGCAGAATCACACGGGCAAATCGGGCGGGTAGACCATGACGAGCGCGTCGGGGAGGCGGGCCCAGGCGGCCAGGTCGAGCAGGCTTGTCGCTGAAGCGTGCGTCCTGCATGAAACGCGCAGCAGTCTCAAGCGATAGCGCGATTCCCAAGTGAATCGTCCTGAAATCCACAGCGAGAGCGTGATTCATGAGTGTCGAGGGCGCGGCGTCTGAATAAATGGCGAGGAGGTCCCACGTGAGAGCGCGATTCCTGCATACATTGCGAGGAAATGTATACACTGGGAGGACGTCCTGCGCGAGAGCCTGCTTTCTCAATAACTCGTGAGGAAGTATAAGGCGTGAGCCGTTGTTGTTGTCACTCGGGGGCCGGGGGCGCAGTTTGACGCTCAAGACTTACCCTGAAGAGAAAAAAAAGAGTGCGAGCCCTGGCAAAGGCACTCGAATTGACAAGATACAGTGTGGACATGGGGAATCAACAATACTTCTTCTTGACGCACGAAAGTTCAACAACAACACCAACAACAGCACGAATCGTTTTACGACTGTTCGCTCTTGGCTGCTCGCGCGCAACTCAACACGTGTATCGCAAGCCCTCGGTACCCGCCACCTTCGTGTTCGATCGTACCCGCCTGGAGGAATATTCTTTACGTGCCACGTGGATTTCGCGCAGCCCCTAAAACAGGGGACGACAAGACGGATGCAAGGGGGAGGGAGAAGGACAGAGCACGAGAGAAATTAGTAGGAGGGGGGCCACGAGCAGGAAACACGCTGCAGAACCATACGGGCTGATCGGGCGGCTGGAAACTAACGGGCGGGTCGGGAAAGCGGGCCCTGATGACCAGATCGAGCAGGCGGGTCCCTGCAGGAACCGCGAGGAAGTCTCAAGCGATAGCGCGATTCACAAGTAAATCTCGAGAAAGGCCAAAGCGAAAGCGTGATTCCTGAGTGTCGAGGGCGCGGCGTCTCAATAAATTGCCAGGAAATCTGGGAGCTCGGTTCCTGCATAAATTGTGAACACGTCCCACGTGAGAGCGCGATTCCGGAATACATTCAAAAACGTATCATGTGGGAACCGCTGTTGTTGCAAACCAGGGGCCAACAACACAGCGCGGTGGCACGACACCTTCCCTGATTAAACATCGCGTGCAGGCCCCAGGAGGAGCACTTTAATTTAGAAGGTCCTGGTCACCGGAGAGGAGATCAACAATAATTGTCTTGGATATGCGAATACAACAACAACAGCAATCAGTTCAAGACTGCTCGCTCTGATCTGCTCGAGTGCCACTCGGCACGTATTTCCCAAACCCTCGATACCCGCCCTCTCCGTCTTCGATCGTACCCCATTGGGGGCATATTTTCTTACTTACAACGTAGCTTTTGCCATCCAGCCTTTACGGCAGGGGAGGAGAGGACGGACGGAAGAAAGGAACAAGGGGAAGGGAGAAGGATGGAGCAGGAGAGCGAGAGAGAAACTAGCAGGTGGGGGGGCCCGGAACAGAAAACAATCGGCAGAACCAGACGGGCAAATCGGGCGGGTAGACCCTAACAGGCGGGTCGGGAAAGCGGGCCCAGATGGCCAGATCGAGCAGGCGGGTTGCTGAAGCGCGCGTCCTGCATGTATCGCGAGGAAATCTCGAGCGACAGCGCGATGCGAGAGCGCGCTTCCTTAGTGTCGAAACCGCGGCATCGGAATATATTGCGAAGAAATCCCACGCGAGAGCAAGATTCCTGCGTACACCGTTCTGAGGAAGTCCCGCGCGAGAGCGCGATTCTTCAACAAACAATGAAGAAGTATCAGGCGGGAACCATTGTTGCTGTCGTTGTAAACTGGGGGCCAACAGCACAATTCTGAGGCCCAAAGCTCGCCCCGGGAACAGTATTTTAATCGAAAACAACAAGTGTGCCCCAGAAAGGGGGGACACAAATTA